TCAGAAATCACTTTTTTCAGCCTTCTGGGTAGTCCTTTTGTGCATATGGACTACTCAGAGGGCTGAAAAAGTTATTTTTGACTGGTCCTCGCACTTTTGACCAATCCTCGAATTTACGACTATCCTCACATTTTACGTTTTTGCCCTATGTTGTCACCATGGTGAAGAGAAGCAGTTGTGAAATGAGCGACATGATTGTTAAGAAAGCTGCACGGGCATAAATGTGAGGATGGTCATAAGTGTGAGGACCGGTCAAAAGTGCGAGGCCCAGTCAGAAATGACTTTTTTCAGCCCTCTGAGTAGTCCTATGCACATAGCCACGCCCACCCGGTCACATGACGAGCTAGCCATGTCTACACAGTCACGTGACCAGCTAGCCACACCTACCCGGTCACATGATTGCCAAGCCACACCCCCAACTAAGCCACGCCCACAGAACCTGTTGTTAAAAAAACTGAATCCCACCACTGCTGATATGTATCCTGCATTCAGACTGGAAAATCAAGAAAGATTTCCTCATTAAATGTGTTTACTTTAACAGAAGCTTTCTAATTTGATCTAAATTCAAACTGGACAGCATTCAATACCAGGATATCTTACTGGAGCATCTCAAAGAGATAGGAGTCAACTGCTACATGAATGGGAGTGGTTCCAATCTGTGGCCATAGTGAACAATTTGCTTGTTCCAGTGAGGAGAGCATCGGGGCTCAGAGATTTTCCTTACAATATTCTATTTAACATCTATATGAATTTGCTGACGAAGGATATTTGTTAGTTATCCTAATATTATAAGCAGATGACAGTCATTTATATATGAATCTCTCAGGCTGAACCTAGTATATTAACAAAAGCAAGAATGGATCAAAACAAGCTGATATTAAAGTGATCCAAAGCTCAGTTGCTTTATTACAATAGATATTTGATACCACTGGCTGCAATATTTATTTATTTATTTTTTAGTCCAATTTATATGCTGCCCTTCTCCGTAGACTCAGGGTGGCTTACAATGCATTATAGCAAAAGCCTGCATACTTTTTTATGTATATACCTGCTTATTAGGGCTTTTGCCTGCCCCCCCCCCCCCCCGGCGGTATTGTTCTATACAAAGCTGGCTTATTGCCTCCACAATCCGGGTCCTTAATTTACCTACCTCGAATAATTACTCTTAACAGGATCAAATCCTAAAATGAAGAGTTCATAATTTGGGAATATTCTTACACTTCTTAGGCTTGCAGCATGTGCAAGAAGAAAATGGAAGTTGCATCTAGAAAGACCTTCACTTGTGTTTGATTGAAGTATTAATTGCTTTGGTGATGGTACTTCATGCATTGATCCCAAATCAATGGGATGTAATGTGCTCTGTGTTGGGCAGTCTTTGGAGACAACTTCGAAGGTTAAACTGGTCCAGAATGCTGTAGCTAGGCTGCTAACATATCATTCCTATCTCTGCAGGCTAACTGTAATTGTCAAATTGTTACATTTGTTATCAATTTGTTTCAGGACCCAATTGAGAATTGTATCATCCAAGAAATGCTTTCGTATTAATGGGGAAACACATATTTTTGAATAAAAACAATGTTTTGAATAAAAACATCCTGAAACCTGCTTTAATGTATAAGTACCAGAGTTAACAGCACGAAATTTAATTTAAACATCCATAGCAAAAACAAATTCTATAGAGCATAACATGTAGCACTGCAAAGCCATATGCAAAAATAGCATCAGGATACTATCTTGACGCCATCCTGTCAAGTTGAATATTTGGGGAATACTGAGCTGGAGATTTTAAGAAGACTTGCTGAAAAGTCTTCAGAGATGATTTATGACAAAGAGAGAGAAGGGTTGAAATTTTTGTTTGGATTGGATTTTATTTGAATTGAGTTTTTGTAATTTTGTTTTGCACTATTTATCTTTATTTTTTGAGCGACTTTTTCCTAACTTCAGTTTGAAGATCAAAGACTGATCATTCTTAAAGTAGCTTGCAGTGTTATGAAATATTTATTCCACTTTATAAAAATTACAGTTTATGTAATGGGTCAGTTATTCAGTATCTTCAGGTGAAAGGGTGGACTTGTAATAGTAAAATCTTCACTGTTTTCCAGAAATCCACAGATAATATTATATTTTCTATATTATAATATCTCCACATTTTCAGGTAATGATTAATTCTATATGATTCAGTTTTATAGATATAGCTCATTATCTATTTTATTCATAATTATTTTGACCATCAATCAGATTAGATCACCTAGCTTTAATAATTGTCTAAAACAGAATATTTCAGGTAGTTTTCTAGCCACAAGTCTTTCTTTCTTTGCCAATGAATGACTTAATTGCCAATTTTGTGATGCTTGTCAATAGTGTAGAGCAGCAGCCCCTAACTTTTTGGGTACTAGGGAGCGGTTCCATGGAGAGAGTTTTTTCTGTGAATTGGAGTGGGTGTGGTTTTGGGGGCAGATGGGGCTTCACTTGTTTGTGTGGCCCAGTTTCTGGCATGCATTGGCCAGACTGGGGATTGGGGACCCCTGGTTTAGAGCATTTCCAAAGTTGATTAAATGAATGTATGAAAGATCAGGCTAAAAATGGTTAATCTTCTTGATGTCTACTACTATCTGCTGGGAAATGAAAGGAAGCTATTGCCTTCTTGTCAAATTTTGTGAATCTTCCCATGTATGTATCTGGCTGGCTATTATAAAATATTAAACAGAATGGAGATAGCAAAGCTTTTATGCTTTGCTATTATTCATGTTCTTATGCTGTGTAAGGGAAAAGGGTACTATTTCAAGAGTGTTTTCCAGACTGTATACAAATATGATGGCACAAGCCTGTTCCACTTGCTAACTGGCATCCATCCAGTGATACAGGTTGGAAGCAAAAAAACAGACATCTGGATATGATCCTCTCCAATTGAGAGACAGAATATATACAGTGTTCAATTTGTGCTTCTTTCCATGCTCAGTATATCATTGTGTTCTTTCCACGACCCCGCATAGATAGGAAAATAAGGAAAAGGCAGATGAGCTGCTTTTGTTAGTCTTTTGTCAGCTTTTTAAAAAGGCACTAAAAAAGAATTACTTGAAGAAATAATGTTGCCACTGTCATATTACTCTGTTGGAATCTTAGAAAAATCACACTGGATACATCTAACTGAAACAAAGACTTTCACAACTTCCAGCTTTCAAGGCACTTTTGCTACACAGAATGGATTTTCCTTCTGTCAACATGAGTTTGGTGGACAGAATTTTGTGTTCAGTATGATATATATTGATATATCTTGGTATGAATGTTATGCTTCCCAAAATGAAAATCTGAGTTTTTCAGAAGGACAAATCCAAGACTGCCAAGTCAGCTAGTGCTGTTGTTTATGAAGCGTATCCCCAGTCTCCTTCACACCCACACACCAAACTTGGCTACTTCTTATGATGAATATTCCCCTCCCCATTATATTATTGTCTCATCTCCATGCATTTCCTGACATCCCACCCACCCTCTCCCTAAATCAAATCTGAAGTTCCTCCCCATAGCATTGCTATATGTCAGATTACCTCCTTCCTCTTCTACTTAACTCAAAAACTCCCTGCCTTCTACTCACCTGGTTCTGACACCATCCTCTGTTTTATCATCATTGTTTTCATCAGAAACAGACAATTTCATCCTTCCATTAATTAATGCATTAATTTAACATCTGTTCCCAGCCTTTTCAGAGGCTGTTCCAATGTTTTCCACATACAAAGTCAAATAATATTAATCGTTATATAAAGAAAATTCACAAATGCATCATCCAATTCATTGAAGATGCCCCACTAATTTGAAGCAACTAAGTGGATTCTAAAGAGAAGAATTGCCATTTAATGCATTGACTTAATTTTCTCATCTCAGCTATGTTACACACTATTTAATCCATGTATGAAAAACCTGACAAAAATACCTTAGATACTTAGAACATCTAAGATAATTGGCTAGATAATTGAGTCAACTGATGAAAAAAAAAAAAAACAATCTAGTTTCTAAGATCTGCATTATGAGGCACATGTATGCAACCATTATATTTGCCTGAGGAACAGGCAGATAAAATGCAATATTTGTTCCTACTTCTGTTTATTCAAATACCTGTACTAATCATTCTAAAGATGAAACAGTTTTTCTTCTATCAATATTTATCTCTGTAAGTATTTGTGATATAATAATCATATCATCCAAGTGTGGCTATTGAAACAATGTGGCTCCTTTAAGGAATCAACTTTTTAATTATTATTAAATATTTTAAAAATAATATATAAGGGAAAATAAAAGACATGAAAAAATGAAATAAAATAGTAATATTCAAATAATAGTACACAAAATAAAAACAATTTTACAACCATTTAATCTGTTTGTTTTGGGGTAGAGTCAGGGCAACTGAGTAGAGCTGAGCATTTACTAACCGGATACCCTTTCTGATGCCTATGTAGAGTTTGCAGCAGATATTTTCTCTTGCACCCTGATAAAGAAACATCTGCTGGTACCTAGGATTGAACTCTGAACCTTCCAAGTGGGAAACAGGCATCTTCAACTCTAGGTCACTGTGCCACTTAGTAATAATACACTAAGTAAATAAGAAATCTAAAAATGACATAACAATTCTAGTTTTCCAATATATTACTTATGAAATTATAAAACTTTTAAAGGAAAATTTTTAAACAACTAAGTTTCAAGTTATTGTCAACATTAATATTATATATCCAATTAAAATTACAAGATAATAATACTAGAAATCTAGTTATCAATGAAGTTTAAATACAGATTCTATATGTAGAAAAATCCAAATTTTGATGTAGGAAGGAATAACAAATCCATGTATTATAGACCAAGAATGATTTTTTCTGGAAATAAAGCAACTATGTAATTAACAGCAATATAGTTCCGTCACTATTTATTTTTCTTTCTTGGCAGCCCTTCAGAAAACAGCTCAAAATATTTACCATTCTCAAAAGGAAAAAAGAATTACACAAAAATCTTACCATGGGCCATACGATGAAACCAATAGTATCCAAAATCTACTCCAATGAAGGTCAAATACCATGTCCACGATGAATCCCATGGTAGTTTCATCATTCTATAGTTGTTCCACACATAGATATATGCCGATATTTCAACACTTCGAAAAATAGCACTGAAATTCAGAAACAGAAAAGGCACATTAGAGATGCATCAGACTACCATCTTCAGAGCGTTTTGTTTGTGGACATCTCTGTCAAAAGATCATCAAAGATCTTTTGGAACCATCCCTGGAGCTAAAAAATAGAGCAATTCTATAATCAAGCAAGTGAAAAAGTTTTTAAAAAGATTAAAGGATTCTGCTCATGATCAACATGGTAGCAAAATCACCAAAAGATCAAAATGCATTAGCAATTATTGCACAAATGCTTGGATCTATTTACATGATAACTAACAAAAGTAAAATATGACTGTAATGTTCTGACCACCTCACTTTTATCCCAGCAAAAACCCACAGTGATCAAAGTCTGATATCACTAAATTACCATTTGAGAAACCCTCAATTTTTCTTAGTTATTATTCCAAATCTCCAAAGTGTTGGAGATGGGGAAAAAGGAGGGACGGCATAAGAAGACCCTGTTTCACCTTGCTGTCATGGCCCACCTGTGACTCACTCATAGCTCTCTAACAGCTGGCCTGATTTTCAAACCAAGATATCTGTTTAACTTCACTTTGGCAGCTGGAGAACCAACAATTTCACACAAGTTTCAATGGCAGGTGTACTTGTTCTTTGCTGAAGCAAAACACCTGGAACACGTTTAATCTTTGTAAGAGCCTTACAAAATATTACTAAAGATGTTTTTTAAAATGCAATTCACCATATTTTTGCAATTTGTAACTTGAAATATTACCACAAATCTTAACCTAAATTCTTAATCATTTAGACAACTGAAAGGAACTTTAGCTGCTCTAAAGGGACTGGGAAAGAGAGGGGAAAACTCTCTCAATACTATTTTGCGGGGATTTTTTTTTTTAAAAAAAGACACTATTGCCTATGCTTAATCAGTGAATCAAGAAGACTTAAGAGTGCCTGATTCTGCTTGGATCATGGCCACAGGGTACTGTTTTCTCATTTTAGCCTCATTAAGTACGGTAATGTTTTTGGAACATATCCAGACACAGAAGAGATTATTTTTTAAAATGGTCACTGACCTCTTTTTTCACTGAGTTGTAACTAAAAGTAGATATTAATTCTAAAGTACAGATATTCCACCTGAAGTTATATAAGTAAAATTTGCATATTTTAAATCAATCACTAATATACTAACAGGATTATTAATGTGTTTGCTTTGTCAAATATGGAAGTTAATTTACAATACTTTATCTGGGGAAAACATTTTAAAAGTCAAAAGCAACATTTATTAAATCTAACTGTGATTCTTTAAACCTCCCTTTTCCTTCTTGAGAAAACTAAATAAGAATATATTTAATCTGAACTTTGCTGGTAATTGTACTCATTGCAAATAAAACTTTAATGAACAAGATATACTCTATTTGTAGTCTGACAAAATCTCACTGAAAAACAGTGGGAATATTAATTAATTTATTCATTCTGGTTTGATTTCAGAATTTCTCTTTTTTGAACAAAAATTCATCAAAAAATAACCTTTGCATGTAAAAGACCCAAATACTTATAAATATGCATTAACTTTTATTAATTTTAGAGGACAACTACTGAAAATATGATCTTATGAATTAGTAACAATCAGACAATTTTAAATATTCAAAAATATGTCAAAAAGTAAATATCTGCAGGATAATGAAATTCAAAGTAAGGTAATTGATTGATATTTTAATTTATTTATACATTTTATATATAATTTATAAAATAATTTTGTTACAATAAATTCTTGGTATCTGTTAAATTTTCATATGCACATCAAGTACCAAATGTTAACTGAAATCTGTCAAGCTAAACACACAGAAATACTGAAAACATGTGAAATATTTATGTCCTATAATAAAGACTCCATTAAATAAAGGGAGAAGAAGATATGTAGGATGTTTGTCAACCTCACACTGGAAAAAGAAAACAACTTGTCTTTGATTTAAAGTCTCTTATATTTTTCTGAACAGGTGCCAGTTCATGACTTGACTATCTAATTTATTACTCCATCAACTGATTTATTAGTCTTGAATTAACCTGACATAGGTAGTGACATATAATGGTCATAGTTTCTTCCCATTCTGCTTTTATGTTTTATTATAAAGTCAAACTGTCCAGAAGATGCTGGAAAGAGTGAGAAAGATCTGAGAGTTTTACTCCCTGTCTTCACTCAGCACTACAAATATGATCATTTTTAATATACAAACATAGCTACAAATTGATATATTTGCTAACAGTCTCTTGGAAAGCTGTTAGAATGTTTTCCTGTGTTAAGTTCTTAATTACAGGATGTAAAACTAATACTTTAACAACACTTCTTCACTCTGAAAAGTATTACACTGGAAAAAGCCTAAAATCTCTCACACATAAGAGATAAAATCTCAACACAAACCTAAAATGTCAGCCTGAACCTAAGTGAAAACTCAAATATTTTTCCCAGTATTTGTTTTCCTATCAAATACTTTACATGTGTCTGTTTAAATACAAACAAGAGTTCCTAATAGCTTACATAATTGACCATATTTTTTTAAAAAACAGTTAAAATCGTTATGCAATGTTGTACCATATTTAGGAACTCTTACATTATTCACAATTGTTTATTTATAGCACATCATTAATGTCCATAGCATTTTACATATTGTAACAATTGTTTCCACTAATTAATGGGACATCTAATATCCAATTTTATTAATCATTTTATTGATTGCTTCTCTTTTGAAATATTTTGGAAAAAGAAATTTAACTGAATACTGAGATAGTGCATACACAATATTTGGGACTTACATAAAAAGCTAAAAAAACATGTTACTATAAATACAGATTCTTCAAAGGAAGATTGATAAATGATAACTATACTGGGTTAAACAAATTGTAGTGGAGGAAAAACAAAGAGTTAATTATTAATCAAGACAACCAATGAAACTTTATTGAAATAAACTCAGAAATAAAGCTACTTGCAGAAATATAATCTAACCATGACTACTAAAAGCAACATGAAATAAATACAGAAACTTTGAAAACTAAAGCGCTCCATAGGCATTGTTTGGTTTTTTTGCTACCCAAGAACAAGCCATATGCACAAATGTTAATTGGTGAAAAATAGAAAATACTAGTTTGGGTAGTAAATGCTGGGATATATGGTGAAACAGTTCACCATTTAATAATTAAATGCAGTAAAATCCAGACTGGTTACAAAAATAGGCACAACTTATTTAGCAAGATATTGCATTAGCATTTATGTAGAAAACCAACTTTACTTTCATATTTCTTGCAATATGAATGCATGAAAAGTCATTGAATATAATAGAGCAAAAATATTATGAGTTCTTACAATCCAGACTGATTGTACATGGAATGTACATGGTACATGGTACATTGAATATAACACATTAACTTTACTGTCACTGAAAAGAACCCTGATTGCTTTTTCAATGAAGCCATTCCAAAAGACTGTTAAGTTGAAGACAAGGAATAGAAAACATTTTAAAAATACTGGTATTTATAAACAGATTGCAAACATTTGGGAGACTGTTAATTATTATTGGGTCATTAGGTGTAATATAACAAGGACTTAGAAAGAATTTGGACTGTCTAAATCTAGAAAAACTACGGTGATGATAGGCCAACTCCAAAAATTAGCACATTTGGCACCTCAAAGGTAATTAGCACTACAGGTAGTCCTTGTTTAGTGATGACAACCCTGGAAATCCCCAATTTCATCATTAAGCAGGATTGCCGGTCATTAAACAAATACCTGCCAACTTCCAACAAGCAAAGTCAAGCAGACTGGTCTATGAGTAAACTCCTGCCTCAGCCCAATACAAATGCCAGGCATAATGGCTGCTGGGGTAGGTAACTCTTCTATGTTCTACTACCCAACTATCCTTCACTATCTTCTTCTTCCCATTGCTGACAAGGCAAGGCAAGTCTAGCTTAACCTTTAGTGAAGCCACAATTATCTAGTGTAGCACCATGGCCAAAGCTGAATCCTGGTCCTCCATCAAAGTGCAAAAGCTGCAGGTATCCTAGTTCCAGCCACCCTTGCCATCCTGAAGTCTATGTGAGCAACCTTGCAAGGACTCAGGAATAAAAGCTTATGCAGCCAGCATGTACACCTCAACAGCAAGAGGAAAGAATTGTCAAAAGTCAGCTGCTGTTCTAATGACAAAGACCACAATTGGGTACAGGATTAGTGGCTGAAAAGTATATGGGCCAAAGGGCAGAGAAGGGGGACAGATAAAGAGGTAGTGGTTGTTGAAGTACATTCTCTAGTCATGCAAAAGCTGCCAAGTGTCTGATATTTCATCAAGTGACCACAGGAGCACCCTGAAGCTAATACTTCAAGGACCAAGCCTTAATACCCGTTGTTCAGCACTGTTGTAACGTCAAACAGTTAACAAAAAATGACTATTAAGCAAGGGATTACAGTAATAACTTTAAGCCTACATCTACCTGAATAAAAAGCTATTGATATGTGGGACACCAACTGGCAAATTATTTTCAGCTAATAACCAGATATTTTTTTAAAAAGTTTTTATTTTAATCTTCATCGTTCTGGCCTCTAATCACAAAGCTGCACTTAAAATTAAGCCTAAAGATGCAAAATTGCTTTGAGAAATATAGATTGTATTCAAGCATTCTGTGAGTAGTAGAATAGCAGAGCACACAATATGGAAGATGGGCCAGTGGACAGAACAATTTGATGCCTGCCAGAACCCATCTTTCACCACTATTACTCCCACTGAATATGGAAAAAATATTTTAAACCACACAAGATTTCCCCAAATATGGGAAGCCATATGTGGAAGACAACTATGCAAACTCTGTAAAAGACACAGCTGCTTTATGTACTTGCAAACAGGTGGTATGTGCACACTGATATTTTACCATTTGAAAATACATGTTCACACAGTATTGTTCTCCACATGTTATTAGATTTGATTTCCCATCCTCTCTGATCACTACTATACAGTCAAACATATAGGATTGAATCGCAGCAACATCTGGAG